TTAATTATATAATATATATAAAAAATTGAAATATATATATAGTTAATTAATAATTAAAAAATTAAGTTTTTTATTTTTCATTTATTCGAGTAAATTGCAAGTTTATATACGCGAGGAGAGCGAAACCCATATGCTCGCCCATATGCGCCCGCGATGCGTGCTAAAGATTACTCTTCATTCCTCATTTCGTTAAACCGTACTTACAACAAATGCTCCGCAACATGCAACGGCAAGGCTGTACCGAAGCCTACTCTAAACTGTTTCCCCGGAGAGAGATAATATTAGTCGGAATTAATGTTTCTCGCCGGTGGACCGCTACTTTCCGCGCTGATTCATGCTCGTTTAGCGAAACGTCGCTTCGGGATAATTGCAAGAAAGTACACACGCGCCGGCGCAGCTCGTGCTCAGGGGAAAACCCTGCCCGCAGGTGTCTTTCAGTTATATCTCGCGACTAGGATGCGTGAAAATAAAGGCGACGCGTCGGCGATGCCGGATGTGAAACTCGAAATTACGAGCCGTTTGTTGAATCACTTGAACCATTGTCGACCCGCGAGACCATCTTCCTTCAATCATTTTACCCGACCAAAACAACATCATCAAATCGCGACAAAGGTTTTTTCTCATGTCTCTTTCTGCACGAATAGCCCGATATCACCGGATATATTCTTCTCTTACAGGGTTCTTCGAATTCCAGCGTCGATTTTTTAGTCGATGTAAGATTTTAAAATTTTTTCCTAAAAATTGTAGCAGTCCTAGTACTTTTAAAAGACTACTTACTTTTGTAAAATGAAAGTTTGAAATAATCAAGATAGAAACGCATACACACATACATAATGTTTTTGTAAGGAAATTTATAAGATCGATGAATTAAATTGCATGAAGAATAGAAAGCGGCGCAATGTATGTTCATTTTAAAATTTGATGTATGAGGAAATTTAGAAATCAACATGTATGACACACAATAGACCGCGGTCATTAAGAGCCGTCGAGGTGTTGCGGTTTCGACGACGTCGCTCGTTATAAACGATGTGTTCATCAAAGATTTCCGACGTAACCCAACGACCGCAAGATTGAGATACCAAAACTGCGAATGTTTGCGAATACTTGTCGATCTATATTTCTGACAAAACTCACGAGTAGAGATTTAAAAAACCGAGTTTTTTAAAAATGGAGGAAGAAACTAAGTAAAACCGCTATTTTTGGGGTAAAAACTGGTTTTTTTTGGTAATTTTGAAAGATAATGCTAGTTTTCTTCGAACAAAAGATGGTATGGAAATTAAATTAATTTTACTGGATCAACAATCAATTTCAATAGGTGTGGCTGAGCTGATTACTACTTCGCATTTGTTTTATCAGTTGAGTCCGAATATTTTAAAACAGATTAATTTTAATTTTTATAATTTAATGGTATTTTTGATGTTCCTTATTTTTAAAGTTTCATAAAAGTTAGAAGAAAACTCTCTCAAGCATAGTTAAACTGTTGTTATTTTTGTTATTTTGTGGACCAGAAGTGAGAATAACACGGGGCATGAAATCTGATATAATAATAATTTTAATAAATTTTAGTTTGTAATTAAATTAAATTCATTTAGGTTTATAATTTAATTTTTAGTAATTTCAAGATAATTTTAGTAAATTTGATGCTCATTTTTCAAAACCGTGCATCAAAGGTTAATAAATAAACCTCAAAATTAGATTTTTACTATGAATTTTTGAAAATGGACAATCTGAGTAATCAATGGGGTAAAAAACCTATTTTTGGTGAAATAAAAAACAGTTTTTTATCGAGTTTTTTACCCAAAGTTTCTGTTTTTTTTATTACCCTTTTAATCTCTACTCATGAGCCATCGGTCACTCCATTGTGATAGCAAGTTTCCAACATTACGTCCATTTAATCATTTAAATTTTTTTGATCAAAAAAATTGCTTTTCTGCGTATCTCTTACTATCTAATCAAATTAAATGAGTATATAAAAAGCTCGAAAAGATGCAATTAAAACGAAAAAGGATGAGAGAAAAAAAAGAGCTAAACGAGTCGCGTCAAGCTTGAAAATATAACACCCCTTCTCAAAGCCGTATAGCTTCGAGATTTGAAGAATGTCCAGTGAAAGGCAATGGACTAGATTATAATCACGTCGACTTTGTTAATATAATGAATGACCTCGTGAAATGCTGAATCCAAGTTTCGCGTCACGTTTCATATCCGCTCTACTTAAACATCGGCAAGGAATGTCTGTTTATAGTAATGACACATGGAATTGAGGATAATATTATTGGAATGAGAGAGATTGCTACGATAGTGATATCAAATATTAATATAAGAATGTCTAAATGAATGAGATACTCCTTTTATCCGATAACATATATCATATATAATAATTAATAATATATAATAATTGCGATACAGGATCTACACCATTAATTGCAGAGACTAATTATATTTTCAATTAAAAAGTAACAGCGATCATTTTGCTCTCAGGTGGCCATGGCGGGGGATTACATCTTGTCAGTCGCCTGCCTGATGATCTCCAGACTCCAAAATGATGATGTGAGCATCGCCATCAGTCAGGTAAATTATTTCGTCACACTTTCAAATCGATTCTTCTCTTAAATCTATCTTCCTTGCTTATATATTGATGGCAGAATCCTTGACTTGCAATCGATTCTTGGCGAAAATTTGAGCTGATATGCACCATAACTCTTATTGAATACATTCTGACAAATAAAGCTTCCAAGACGCGCACGAAAATTAAATCTCGCCTACTTTGGCTAATTTTAAATCATTCAGACAAAGATAGTTAATATTATCAGGATAATCTAACGTTTAAAATTCACCACTTACATTTTTTTTAATATTCTATTCTATTCTATGACATCGCTACCCCTTTCTTTTCTCCTCTTCAAACAGAAGAGACGAGCCACAAATTAAAATTATATAATCAAGATCGGCTATTGAAAAGCGCAACGTCTAAAACAGATTACATTACTTCGTAGATAGTGACTGACTTGGTGCAAGGGGAATTTATGCAGCTCGGCTCGAAAGAAACGGAAAACGAGAGGTTCGCGCATTATCTCACAAAGACATATCGCAAAACGGCGAGTTTAATCGCCAATTGCTGTAAAGCGGTAAGCCTGCATTGTTATGGGATTGGTTGCTAAATAAGTTGCTGTTTACATCGCGAGATGTCCATAAATTTTCTAATTTCAGAAGATTTTAAATCGACGTCATTTCAGGTCGCTATACTTGCCGAAGTCGATGATCGTATGATAGAGATGGCCTTCCAGTACGGCAGGAATGTCGGATTGGCCTTTCAATTGGTGGATGATCTTCTGGATTTCGTTGCTTCTTCGGAGGCTCTAGGAAAACCCACGGCCGCTGACCTCAAGCTTGGATTAGCGACAGCCCCTGTGCTCTTCGCTTGCGAACAGGTCAGTAAGTCATGTATTATGTTCATCGATAGAGATTTTCATCAACGTCAGGATCTTAATCGGTTGCTCTCTTCGGTTATTTGAACTATTGCAGTATCCGGAATTAAACGCGATGATTATGCGCCGTTTTCAAGAGCACGGCGACGTCAAGAAGGCTTTCGAATTAGTGCACAAGTCCAACGGTCTCGAGCAGACAAGATTCTTGGCGAAGAAACACTGCGCGGAAGCCAACAAGATCGTACAATCCTTCGCTAAGAGCCCTTATCAAAAGGCTCTCATCATTATGGCTGATCTTGTTATCAATCGTATGAAATAGCATCGCCCAAAATGAAAATTTGGACTTAGAGAACCGGGGGCTGCGCGGAAGATCGTACAATCCTTCGCTAAGAGCCCTTATCAAAAGGCTCTCATCATTATGGCTGATCTTGTTATCAATCGTATGAAATAATGAAATAGAAAATGAAAATTTGGACTTAGAGAACCGGGG